GATCATTACTGCACGTAGGCATGTGGGATGGGAAATAAAACACCTTTTGACAGTGGTTATGCTGTCTTCCTGAAGGACAAGAGAGTCACCTGAATCCTCCTGTGGATATATATATCCCATATGACTGGATACATCCTTGGCTGTTCTGTCAGGCCATAGTAAGCTGCTGTCATCTGCTAAGCCTAGTAATCTGCTAATTCAATCAGCCCCATTTCCAAGCAAGCTGGCTAGTAGTCAAACCTAGTTACTTTACTTAGTAACCAAAGAAGGTACTGGGGACAATAATTCAAGTCAATTCCTTCACCAATTTTACTACCAAAACTCTAAACCACAATATTTCTGTTAAACCAAGTTACCTCAAAAATGCATTTATACCCATTTATAAGATAGGGCATTTATCAATATCTCACATTCTCACATGTTGGGGTGTAGCAAGTAATACTAAAGACTCACCCCTCTCTCAACACACAGAAGGACTCCATGATATGCAACTCAATTTTCCAGCACTGACCACCTTCATCTCTACAGACCCAAATAAAATATTGTTTGGGGACCTCCAATGAAATGCTCTTCTAGACTCAGCACACATTCCCACCAGAGGGTGTACTTGTGATTTACTTTCACTTAGCTCTGCATTAGTAAACTTGCCTACCACATGTCAACATAGAAGCAACATTCCCTTGAAATTCACCTACTAGCTTCTTCTCTTAGCAATACCCTAATAAATTTCTTACTTCTACTTGCTTGTCTTGGTAAATTCTTTTGCAAACTAGCAGCCCTTAAGCTTCCTGACATGTAGCAGTCCCTCCAAGGTTCCAGGAATATTTTTTTAATGAGGTGGGAAAATTGTAAGAGCCAGAAGACAGAGTAGGATGTGGAAAAATTGATCTTCCAGGTTTGACATAACTATCACCATATTATTTGGAGATAGAAACTGTCATGATGACTCACCAGTTACTCCTATTTCCACTTGAGATAAAAGCATAAACATAAGTATATATCCAATCAATGAGATAATTGACACTGACAGCATTAGCATTTCTGCCAGCAAACAGGAATGCAGTATACTATGAAACACTGCCATCTTGGCAATATCACAAATCACTGTTTCCATAAACAAAAAGCATAATCTTTCAGTGAGGATTTGGTGGAGAAGCTTCCCAGGAGTCATTCATTGCTGAAACTCAGATATATGGTTGCCTTGGCACTGAATCTTAATCTTAAATATGCTCATACAGATATAAAAACACTTCCTATAAGAGTCAAGTAGAAAGTAGAACTGGGTTGTGACCTGCATCAGAATCAACTCCAAATTAATCACAGACCTCAAGTTAAAAGCAGATACCCTGATAATGTTACAGGAAGGGATAGGTGACACAATAGGACTCCCTGACACAGGTCAAAACTTCCTAAATAAAAATCCAGAAATGCAACAAATCAAAGAAAATTTGGATAAATGGGATTGCATTAAACTGCAGAGCTTCTGCATGGCAAAGGACATAGCTAGCAAGATAAATAGAAAGCCCACAGATTGGAGGTCTTTACTAGCCATACAACAGATCAGAGCCTTGTATCAAAAATATACCAAAAATTCAAAAGATAACTGCCCCCCATAACAAACCCTCAAAGAAACAACCATCCCATTAATAAGTGAGCTAAAGAAATAAAAAGAAAAAAATAAAAAGCTCACTTATTATTCATGTGTCATTAGACACATGAAGAAATGTTCAACATCTCTGTCCATAAAAGAAATGCAAATCAAAACTACATTGAGATTCCATCTCACCCCAGTTAGAATGGCCATTATCAAGAAAAGAAATAATAACAGATGGTAGCAGAGATGTGACCAAAAGGGAATACTACAATGTTGGTGGGAATGTAAACTGGTTCAACCACTCTGGAAAGCAGTATAGAGGTTCCTCAAAAGACTCTACATAGAGCTCTCCTATGACCCACTAATGGACATTTACCCAAATGATCACAAACAAGGCCATACTAAAGCTACCAATACAACTATGTTTATTGCAGCATTATATACTATAGGTAAGCTATGGAATCAACCCAGATGCCCCTCAGTAAATGAATGGATCAGGAAAATGTGATCTATCTATCTATCTATCTATCTATCTATCTATCTATCTATCTATAATGGAATTCTATGCTTTCATAAAAAAGATTGATATCATCCCATTGATAAAATGGAAGGACTTGGAAAAAAATCATATTAAGTGAAGTAAGACAGACTCAAAGACACACAAGCTCTAAGGTTTCACTAATTTGAAGTAATTAGTATCTGTCTAGAGTATTCCTAGAAGAGGGTCACAATAGCTCAATAGCTATGTATGTACATATGACCATATAACATATACTGTGTCAAGTTATTTTTTTCTCTGTCCCCCCTTTTGGTTTATCTCCTGTAACCTCTGTTCTTAATTTTGGTACCTTGTGTCCTGTATATATGATTATTGGATTTGGGGAAGGGAAGGGGGATAAGAAAATGGTGAGACAAAGGAAAAAGTGTAAATCAATGCAAAAGTGATACTCACAAGTCACTGTGTTGAAAACAAACTATAACTTGGGAGGAGAGAAGTAGGGATGAGGGAAAGTGAAAGAAAATGAGGGTGGGGATAACAATGTTCGACAAGCAGTGTTCTTATTATCTTACTTATGTAACTATAACTCCTCTGTACATCACAATAAAAGAAAATAAAACTTAAATAATTGCATTGTGAGTAGGGAATGGGATGATCTGGTTCAAGGGTTCAAATTTTAAATTAGAAGAGGATCATGTTCTGTAGATCTAATTTACAGAGGGCAATACAGAATCTGTTATTAATATGAGAAAGATAATCAATACACACTATGTACATATATAAAACTATTAGACCACTATGTTACATACTTTGAATAGTCTTGGTCTATGAACTATTTTAAAATTCAAAAGACCCAGAAATGAACCCACAGACCTATAGCCATCTAATCTTCAATAAAGGAGCTAAAAAAATAGAATGGAAGAAAGATAGCCTCTTTAGTAAATGGTGCTGGCAAAAATGGTTTATCAGTTACAGAAAACTAAAGCTAGATCCCTATATATCACCCTGCATCAGAATCAACTCCAAATGGATCAAAGACCTCAGAGTCAAAGCAGACACTCTGAAAACATTACAGGATGGAATAGGAGAAACCCTAGGTCTCCTTGGCACAGGGTGAAATTTTCTTAATAGAGACCCAGAAACACAACAAATCAAAGAAAGGTTGGACAAATGGGATTGCATGAAATTGCAAAGCTTCTGCATGGTAAAGGACATAGCTAGCAAGATCAATAGAAAGCCCACGGATTGGGAAAAGACCTTCACTAACCATACAACAGACAAGAGTCTCATACCTGGAACTAAAAAATTAAATCCCCCAACAACGAATACTCAAAGAAACAACTGCCCAATAAATAAGTGGGCTAAAGACTTAAAGAGAAACTTCTCTGAAGAGGAAAGAAGGATGGCCAATAGACACGTGAAGAAATGCTCAACTTCTCTAGCCATAAAAGAAATGCAAATCAAAACAACATTGAGATACCACCTCACCCCAGTTAGAATGGCTATAATCAAAAACTCTAACAACAGATGCTGGAGGGGATGTGGACAGAAGGGAACCCAACTCATTGTTGGTGGGAATGTAAACTTCTTCAACCACTTTGGAAAGTAGTATGGAGGTTCCTCAAAAGACTCCACATAGAGCTCCCCTTTGACCCAGCAATCCCACTTCTGGACATTTACCCGAATGATCACAAACAAGACCATACTAAAGCTACCAGCATAACTATGTTTATTGCAGCATTATTTACCATAGCTAAGATATGGAACTAACCCAGATGCCCCTCAGTAGATGAATGGATCAAGAAAATGTGGTATATATACACAATGGAATTCTATGCCTTCATCAAAAAGAATGACATTGCCCCATTTGTTAGGAAATGAAAAGACTTGGAAAAAATTATATTAAGTGAAGTAATCCAGGCCCAAAGAAACATAGGTCCCATGGTTTCCCTTATTTGCAAAAGCTAGTATATTTCTGAGACAAGCAGAAACAGTCAGATAAGTTGATGGTAGGCAAAATGAACCCCAAGATAAGGACTCAAATGGTTTATCTTTTTTGCTATTGTTTCTAACATACTTATAAGATATTTCTTTGTTGCTTTGTATGTCCCTCCCCTATTGCATAATCCGTTTTCACTGCATTTGGTATAGGTATAATTTGTGGAGGGAAAGGTGGAACCATTGCAACAATGAGATGTACAAGACATTATATCGATAAACAAACTTTACAACTTTGGCGCGGGGAAGGGTGGGAGATGGGAAGGGATGGGAAGGGATGGGAAAGGGAAACAAAAGAGGAGGCAATAATGCTTGATAAGAAATGTACTCATTATCTTGCCCATGTAATTGTAACCCCTCTGTATGGTATTTTCACAATAAAAAAATTTTAAAAAAGAAAAAAATGGCCCGAGGATGGAACTACACACAAAAGTTACTGTACAAATATATGTTTTAATTCATGAACTGGTCTAGTGATTGGTGTTAGGTTTTTAAAAAGAGGTAACTGATAAGAAGAGCACCACACACGTGGTATTCAGGTAAGGGGTAAGTTTATTCATTGTTCTGGCTGGCACCAGGCCATGCTGGCCCTCCATGCAGCTGGGAAAGGCCTGGGAAAAAGAAGAGAGAGCTGGGAAAGAGAAGAGAGAGCTGGGAAAGAGAAGAGAAGGAAAGAGCTGAGAAAGAGCTAAGAAAGAGAGAGAGCTGGGAAAGAGAATGTCTGGGCCTGGGCTAGGCCTTATCTAGGGTATGGGAGGAGAAAGGTGTGGCCACATCAAATTCAGATGTGACCTCAGTGGATGCAGATATGACCTCTTCTAGGTGTGCCAGTTGCCTAGGTAACACAGGTACTGGGTGGTAACTTTGCAGGAGGGTGGAGTCTGCTCACCATCCAGGAACAGACCTTACAATTGGTAGGACCGAATTTTAGTGAAATCAATGTCATCCCATATGGTATTGAGTTCTAAGTATTCCTTTTGGCAAAGCAATAAGTAGCGTTTGATCTTTAGCCTATAGAAGCCCACAACTTATAGTTGAAAAAGAGTAACACCTAATCGATATAAATCATCCTGAGAAAAGTGCAATAGAAATTTGCTGAGGAAAGTAGCTAACTAATTTCAGAATTTCTAACTCATAAGGAAGAGGAATGAGAAAATTTGCTTTTCTTATTAACAAAAGAGATGAAAGGAATAGAACTAAGCACAGGATGGATTGTGAGAATGAGCAGTACAAATAATCTAATGAGAGGATATATGTAGATATAAGATGTTTTGCCGTCAAGTGAATCCAAACACAGTCCTGCCAGGCCCGGGTGGCTCATGCCTGCAATCCTAGCTACTCAGGAGGCTGAGATCTAATGATCATGGTTCAAATCCAGCCCAAGCAATAAAATCTGAGAGACTCTTATCTCCAATAAACATCAGACAATTGAAAGTGGCACTATGGCTCAAGTGGTAGAGCACTCTCCTTGAGCTGAAGAGGTCAGGGACAGCACCCAGACCCAGAGTTCAAGCCCCGTGACAAAATACAAACAAAAAGGAAAAAAAACCCACAGTCCTTTGTTCCAGCTGCTGTTTCTTTTTATTTCAATATCACAGTGTGATGATTACCACTGGAGGATTTTGCTCTGACCCAGTTCAGCTGAAATGGAAATTGCTCAATATGGTCAGGAACTTCCTTCTTTGCTGGCATGAATTTCACATATTTCATATCACCATATAACAAGGTGCGGATGAGCATTGTGTTCATCTTCTGTGAAGAAAGGAGGAATATCAATGACTTTAAGCCTGAAAAAAAAAAAACCATTGAAACTGCTAAGATAGGAGTAAATGCATATAAAAACAAAACAGATGAAATTGAAGACCCTTTCCAAATACAGAGCCAAAGTAAACATCATTGCAGAGCATTGTATATGACACCATCATACAGAACACCATCTAATCTCTTCATCTGAAACTGAGTACTGATCTCATGTCAGAGTTTAACTACACAGCATATAATATTAGAAGGAAATAACCCAAACTGACCTCTCAAGAACTATCTTCATCAGTGTTTTCAATCACAGAACATTTCCTCAGCACAGGAACACCATAGGCAGAGTAGAAGTGTGACAGAGGGAGGGAGATGTCAAGGAGACACCACCTTACACACAGCACAGAAGCAGGTCAGTTTGTTCACAGATCAGGAACTGGCTATGCAGCAGGGGAGGTAAGAGAGGAAGGAGTTGCTGGTAAAAAGGAAACAAGCAAAAGGGGCCCTGGCAAAGAGTTTCAGCATTTGGGAATTCGGGGGGCTGAGACGGAGATGGGAGGATTAAAATGAGAGGGAATTAGGATTCTTCATTTTTAGATTAAGGTTTTGCTGTTAAGAGGTTATTGCGGGGCTGGGAAGGTGGCTCAGTGGTAGAGTGCATGCCTTGCAAGCATGAGGCCCTGCGTTTGATTCCACAGCACCACATAAACAGAAAAAGCCGGAAGTGGCGCTGTGGCTCCAGTGGTAGAGCACTAGCCTTGAGCTGAAGAGCTGAGGGACAGCGCCCAGACCCAGAGTTCAGGCCCCATGATCGGCAAAAAAAAAGAGGTTGTTGCTTACTCTCATTTGTTTTTGAAGGAGAAACAGCAGCACCTGTTTCCTGTTTACGCTGCTGAAAATGGTGTGATACTCCTGGAAGTCTTGGTGTTTCCAGGGGAGAAGGGAAAGAATAAAAATAAAAGGACACCTTTGCAACAAGGCTAGTGCTGTAGAACCTTGAGGTTTGGGATTTGGAGGGGTTGGGAGAGGGGAGAACTTGTCCTGATGGATGTAGAAACAGGTTTTCAGAACAAGGTGATCAGTGCATCTTTGCTGTGAGTAGCTGAACATTTATTTAGGTTGGTGTAGTGTAAACCATCTCTCTCATTTACTTTCTTGGTTCTTGTCTAATACTAGCACCTTATATTCAAATCATATATTTACTTTGTTTTACATATCTCATATAGATCACCGGGGAATACACCCTCAGGATGGTTATATGCCAAACATAAAGTCATTCTTATCACACATTATGCATAGAACATTTACCTGAAAAATCTGAGCTTTATTCTAAGTTACAATCAGGTGGGACATATTCAAGTTAGATGATTGACTGGGAAAGGCACAGGGCATTTTAAAAATAGCATATGGCATGTAAATGGTGGTAACCTGGTTATATATCATCCTTGCCAAAAATATTTTTGCTCTAAAACAAATCACAAGGAAGGAGGGAGAAAGAAGAGAAGAGGAAAGAGAATGAGAGAGAGAGAGAAAGAGAAAGAGAGAGACAGAGACAGACAGAGAGACAGAGACAGAGAGAGAGTTTGTGAGGATATAGGCTAGATTTTCAGTGAAGAATAAGAATATATATATATATATATATATATATATATATATATATTCTATGAGGTTTCTACAGGTTTTTCTGTGATTTTCTCTAGAAAGAAGAGTTAAAAATTATTTGTTTCTGAGTTTCCAAGAAAGTTGATATTAGAATTTGTACATGATTTGTAGAGTACCAGTTAACACTTTGCTAGGTGGCTGCTGTTTAGGTCCCAATGAATGAAATAGAAACTTGCCTTAGAGTTCCCCAAGGGATGCCACCAGCTCTGCAGAAGCTGATTGCCACCAAGGCTTGGGTTTGTTATTATGGCATTCCTCAGTCCACTGAAAATATTTGTGACTTTTTTTTAATCAAAATCTACTGAATACCTGCTGCAGTCAAGGTGTGATTTTCTGTTCTGAAGACCTTGTAATGAGAAATGCATTCTCTCTTTCCAGTGGGGCATGAAGAATTAGCCTGTCAATTACAGCTTAATGCTAGGACCCTCATGCTAATGAGACTTCATACCCTTCTATAGATTTTGACACTGTTTTGTTTTTATTATTATTTTGCTTAGCTTAAAATTCTATTTTTAAAGGAATGCTTTTATTTCATTAACAAAGTCAAGTGTTTGTTTTTTTCCCAAGCAGAAAGCATCAGTAATCTTGCAAAGGGTGTAATACGTGAATCTGGGTAAAGACCTATAGAATTTACTATGATGTCTAAGGTAAAAGAATCTGCATCAAAAGCTATGAAATAGTGCTTTTGATATTGCTCTTTTCTTTTGTTTAAGGAATATCTCATACACTTTGTGAGCATGAAACAGCTTTGTCAAAGGCAAGAAGGGGGACACAAGTTGTTAAGCAGCTTCCTCATTGGTAGAGGAAGTGGTCACACCAGAACCATCTCAGCTTCTAACAGTATCATGTTGACAACTTTAGGACACACTCATCTTGATTACAGCTTCTTTTTTTGTAAAAACATGGCACACTTCTTCCAGTTGGGCATGAAGTCTTAGTGGTGGCATTGTACCCCACTGAACAGACACCATGTCATTTCCATCCCTCTAGGATGGAATAGACAGAGATGGCTCTCTATTAGGAAGTCCATGGGAATTTACTACATATGGGTATCCTTAGAATCTCTCACTGTAATTCTTTCTCCTAAAGTCAGGTAGACTCTGATCAATTATCCCTGGGCAGGTAGTTTAGACAGCTTCTGGCCAAAGCTCATCACTTGGGCCTGTTTTCATTCCAGGTAAGGCAGCCAAAAGTATTTAGTGCCAATCAATATACCATAAGATCAAGTCACTAGAAGAAATTAATTATAAGACATGAGAGTTTCTGTGAAAAATAGGTACCATATGATATTGAACCTATACACCAAGAGAAAGAAGATCTCATTTTTCTATTATCCTATAAATCTGGAAAAAATAATAAATAAACAGCAACTACAAAGAAAGAGAAAATAAAAAGAAGAATCATTCTTCTATTCAATTGATACTTGTGTGTCATTCTTTTCATCCTAGTTGGGCCCTGAGCAGGCCACAGATAAAAGCAGCAAAGAAAGATGCATGCCTCTTCTAGTCACATGCACAGAGCACCATGCAATGTCATGGTGAGGGGTGCCTGGCTGTGGGATCTGGGGCAGCATTCAGAGCAAGAATAAATGGTTCACCTGGTTCCCAGAGGGATGCAGAGATAATCTAGAAATGACCAAGAAAAAGTAGATTCCATGAAGAGGGGAAAGTAAATACAAAAGCCTAGAAGTAGATGGTCCCCAGTGATTCTTGCTTGTAATACTAGCTACCAAGGAGGCTGAGATCAGGGTACATCATGCTTCAATTCCAGCTTGGGCATCAGGTCCACAAGAGGCTATTTCCAAAATAACCAGAAAAAGACAGATGGGAAGTATGGCTCAATGGCAGAGTGCCAGACAAACAAGTAGACCATGTATGAGGCTGAGTTTAAACCCCCATACCAGAAAACAAAGAGAAAAACAAAGAAGACTAAACACAACACTAAGATTGTTCAGAGAGAACAATTCTTCCTCTTGAGGATTTTTCTACTTAATTTTAAATATGAAATATCCCTGATCCCATTCCTGACTAGTATGTAAAGAGATTTGGATGAGCTCTATACAAATGAAATCCACCCCACTCATCCCGCTTACCTTTGGCTAGATTACTGCAAGCATAGAAAATACAGGTGGTCATCAAGAAGATATCAAGGAAAATCATAAATATAGCCAGTCTCACTGTCCAGGAACTGAGGCTCAAGTCTAAGGCATCTGAAAAACACGAATTATTTCTCGTGAGACCCAGCCTGATATTAGGAGGTTTGGCTGCTGCTACTGATTCTTGCCTGACTCTCCCACATAGACATTAACAGATAAGCAGAGACTCTACCTCCCTGGCCCTAGCCTTCCTGGTTTGTACTCCTCCAAGAAAGCCAAGCCTTCTGACCCATTTTATTTCCATTTTGTCAAGGACTTAAGCAGTGTGTCATCTTCAAAACTGTAGAAGAGGAAAGGGGAGGAGGGAATGCAGTAAAAAATGCAATGCATAGCCTATAAAATTAAGAAAAGTGAGGGAGGAGGGAGTTTGGGTATGAGAGGTGAGAATACTCAAAGGAATGACATTGACAAAAACACATTGAATTCATAAAATGCTTTTTTTTTTTTTTTGTCAGTCATGGGGGCTGAACTCTAGGCCTGGGTGCTGTCCCTCCCTCTTCAGCTCAAGGCTAGCACCCTACCACTTAAGCCATAGCACTTCTGCTTTTTTCTGCTTATGTGGTACTGAGGAATCAAACCCAGGGCCTCATGTATGCAAGGCAAGTGCTCTACCACTAAGCAAACTTCCTAGCCCCCATAAAATTCTTTTTTTAAATTAAATTTAATTTGTTTCCACTTGAGCCACAGCACCACTTTTGGTTTTCTGGTGTTTTATTAGAAATAACTATGCCTCCATCAGAAAGAATGACATTGCCCCATTTGTTAGGAAATGGAAAGTTATGGGAAAAAATTATATTAAGTGAAGTAAGCCAGGTGCAAAGAAACATAGGTCCCATGGTTTCCCTTATTTGCAATAACCAGTATATATCTGAGACAAGCAGAAAAGGTTAGATAAAATGATGTTAAGCAAAATGAACCCCAAGATAAGGACACAAGTGTTTTTTTTTTCTTTTTTGCTACCATTTCTAACATATTTATAAGGTACCATGTGATTTTTTTTGTTGCTTTGTATGTCCCTTTCCCATGGTATAACCCCTGTTTTCACTGTATTTGATGTAGGTATAATTTGGGGAGGGTAAGAGAAAAAACAAATTGTTTAAATAGGGATACAGGTTGACCCATTGCAATAATAAGATGTACAAGATGCTATGTCGAAAAACGAACTTTACCATTTAGGCTCGGGGGAGAAGGGGAGAGTGTAGTTGTGGAGATGAGAGGGAAGGGATAGTCGGGGAAAAACAAAGGAGGAGGCAACAATGCTTGATAAGAAATGTACTCATTACCTTGATCATGTGATTATAACCCCTGTATATAACTCTGTACACTATTTTCACAATAAAAATCTTATTTAAAAAAAAAAAGAATAGAAACAGCAAAAAAAAAAAAAAAAAAGAATCTCACTGACTTTCCTATCCAGGCTAGCTTTGAACTATGATTCTCAGACCTCAGCTTCCTAAATAGCTAGGATTATAGGCTTAAACCACCAGCGCCTGGCTTATAAAATGCGTTTTGAATGGCAACTCCATTGTACAATTATGTAAAGATGATTTTTTTAGTGTAAAAGAGCCATTAATTATGAAGGATATAGAAAAATCACCAGGTCCAACAACTGCTTTCTTTTTTTAATATGTTTTTTATTCTGAAAATACCATACAGAGGGGTTACAATTACATGAGCAAGGTAATGAGTACATTTCCTATCAAGCATTGTTCCTCCTCCTTGTTTTTCCCCACCCATTCCTGCCCTCCTATCTCCATGACTACACTCCCCTCAACCACCCCTCCTTCCCCAGCCCCCAGGCCCCTGCCAAAGTTGTAACGTTCATTTTTGACATAGCATCTTGTACTTCTCATTGTTGCAATGGGTCCACCTGTATCCCTATTTAAACAATTGTTTTTTTCCCTTCCCCTCCCCAAATTACACCAACATCAAATGCAGTGAAAACAGGGGTTATACCATGGGGGAGTGACATACAAAGCAACAAAAAAAATCACCTTATAAATACTTTAGAAAAAATAGCAAGAAAGAAAAACCACTTGTACTGTGCTCTTCTTTAGCTGGCCTGAGATAACAATTGACTGTAATTAATGCACAGCAATTTGCAGTTCAGTGTAGAGCAAGACATATTGTATTCTATAGCTAAAATGCATGTAGAGCATTGGATACTTGAATATTTCTGTGGGATTGTTACGGAATAGGAACAAGGGTGAGATAAATGAAGGAGAAAATGACCTTAAGAACTAAAGAAGATCAACCTAATTGACAGGCTGCCTTGTTTTTCCCTAACTAGGGAAAAAAATTCAGGGAGTTTCAGGCTTTCACTGAGTTTTCTCAGAGAATGCATCTGCACTGGAATCTCCCGCAGGAGGGGGAAAGAAGATTAAAGAATGTTATCGGAACCCACACAACTGGAAAACCACAGAAATTTGAGATCACCTGATAGACAAGATCAAGACTCAATCTAAGAAGCTGCCTTCTAAGACGGACACAAATGAGGTAAGGTTCCTACTGTGGTGAGGTTCCAATTATCACTGAGCATGAGCCACAGGTCCAGGTAGATCTGCTCTGGGGATACCACCTGGGGTTCAATAAACCAGCCAGGGAGGAAACCTTCCTCTCCGAGACTCTGCTGAGATCTATTGGGTCATTTATAAAACTTCTAATTGACCTGAATCATGAAATGGTAACCTCTCTGTACAACATCTTAATAATGACAATAAATCTATATTTTAAAATGATATCAAATGATTTACAAGATTTAAGATATAAAACAAAAAATCTAGTTGGTAGTAATTATCAGAGAGTTGTTTAAAATTTACCAGCAATTTGCTTTTCAGTAGAGGAGAGTATTTGAAAGGATCTTGTCAGTGCTGACCATTTACTGTGTAAATGTGGTACTAAGGACTTCCAGGGTCTATGCAGAGTGTCTGTGATGGATGAGGACTGGTCTCTGTACTAGTTGCCAATGAGAGAGAGGCATAGATGATCATCCACACATCATAAGGAACAGGAAGAAGCATCTTCTGATTTTTAGTCATTATTTGTACTAGAAATGGACTGGGTTGGTTTCATCTAAGTGGCATTTAAGGAGGAACATACAGAAACTCTTCTGTGAATGTAGAATATTGTCCAATGATATTTATAGAGAGCAGCTGATTCAAACTAAGTTTATGGTTGAGTCACAATCCTACCTTTTATCCATTAGGACAGACCACCCTGCCACCCTGCCCTGGGAAATGTCTATGCACAAGTGTGTTCAAGTGCAAATCTGTGCAGCTATGTGAATAAAATAAATGTCATAAAGGGGAGACGGTGTAATGTCACTGGAAAAGTACACTAATATGCAGAAAGTTAGAATTGAGAGTGAGCTAGTCAGACTGTTCCTGTCCCTGTCTAGCTCACATTTGGAAATAAGAATGGCATTAGTAGACTGGGCTGTGTTTCTGGCACTCTGTAGTATTGGGACAGATTCTTTGGTAATGACCCTAAACAATCATTTTAAAGAAAGAGAAGAGAGATGAATATATTTCAGTTAACACAAGAAAAAATTTGAATGATTTGATCAAATGAATGGTATTCTGGCATTCCATATTAGTGTTATGTAGAATTCAGCTACCTTTGTCCATTCATACTGAGTACAAGTACTAACTGGAAACAAACACAGTATTAATTTTCCAGAAAGTATTCATTTCAGGGGGAGGGAAAGCGGGAGAAAAACAAGGGAGGAGGTAACAATGTTTGACAAGAAATGTACTCTTACAAATGTAACTATAACCCCTCTGTACATCACCTTGACAATAAAATTAAATTAAAAGAAAAAGAAAATATTCATTTCTCAGACTTACTTTTAACAAGCAGTGTAACCCTGGCTCCTTCAAAGTATGTGGAGCTTACAAAGTAGCATGTGTAAATCCCTCCATCTGAAGGATGGATGGAATCGATCTTCAGAAGCACATGTCCATTGGTGATATTCTCCACCAGCAACTCTGTCCTCTTTCGGTACTCCGGTGCCTGCCCCTCTGTGTAATCCTCACCATTCCTAAGAGCATACACAAAGCCTGACCGACCAATACGATACCATGTTATATTCATGCTGCTAGCATCCATGGATGAGCTGAGGTAACAAGGCAGAAAAGCCTTTTCTCCAACCAAGGCAATGACTGGTAATTGTGGTCCTCTCACATCAAATTGTCCTGTAAGTGATTAAGCAAAGGACAGGGTCATTGCTGAGTAGGTAACAGGCCTGATTTTGACTGTCTGATGAGTGAGGAAGTAGAATAGGTTTATTTTCACAAAGGGTTGTGGTCAGTGAATGAGAAGTTCTAAAACAAGAATGCCCAAATACATTTTTGCATAGGAATTAATAGCAACAGATATAACCAATGTATACCAGTCATGTCATCTATACACAGTTGAAAATCAAGTTTATATAAATCACTTTAAGTCTCTTAACAGTTCTATATTTTGTGGAGTATTGTCTTCATTTCTTCAGTTTACAGATAAGAAAATTAAGTCTGTGAGTGATTGACTATCTTGTCCTGTTATCTGTACTTAGGAAAGCGTTATGTAAGAGTTGGGATATAATTCACCAAATGTTTCTTTGCTTTAAACCACAGTAAAATATCAATGCACTAAAAATAATGTTTCATGCTAAGAAAAAACTGAATGTCATAATACTTTCTCAATGTAAAGAAAGAATGTAAAAAAATAAAAATAAAGTAGATATTTTACAAAGATACAAAAGACTATATCAGAACTCAGTTATAAAATAGGAAATGCAGATTTGACATCCCTAATCTGAATAGCTGAAATTCAAAATGCTTCAAGACCCCAAACTTTGTGTGGACTGATACGAGGCTACAAGTGTAAAATGCCACACATGACTGCATATGGTGAGTCAGAGGAAAAATGAAGGTACAGAGAAATATGGAAGATATTTCATCTTTAAGAAAAGGTTCAGGGAAAACATTAAGTTCTGTCTAAAGATATTTCTTACGTATAGATAAATATTTCAAGATTTGAAAAGGCATAATACCCAAAACATAAAATAATTGTTTTGGAGAATGGATACTCAGCCTTTGAAAACCTAAAGAAAACCACTGAATTTTGCCTTGAAAAAATGGAAAGAGATTGATTCTTTCCTCTTATTACTTGGGATATTTGCTTGAGATTTTCTCTGTTAAGAATGCTCATAGTGGGCTGGGAGGGTGGCTCTGTGTTAGATTGCTTGCCTTGCATGCATGAAGCCCTGGGTTTGATTCGTCAGTACCACATAAGCAGAAAAAGGCAAAAATTGCACTGTGGCTAAAGTGGTAGAGCGCTAGCCTTGAGCTAAAGAGCTGAGGGACAGTGTCCAAGCCCAGAGTGCAGGCCCCATAATTGACAAAAAAAATGCTCATTTTTCACTCTTGCATTGGTATTTTCCATTTAAATGAAGCACTTATGTTTACATATGTTGTCTGGGATGCACATCTCTTCTTATGAGGAACAATTCCTATGCTGGAAATGGCTCATCGTATCAGCTCTAACATCTCTTTTGGCAGTTCTGGGTGCTTGGTAAGAATTCTAGCACTTAAATCTTCTCCCCAGCCTTTTTTGCTTTAGTTATTTTTTTCAGAGAAAATTCAGATTCTAATTCAGTCTGGAATAACAGAATTATGGAACTGCATATATTCCAAATCTTTTATGTTTTAATATGGAAGTACAAAGACAATAAAATAAAATAAAAAGAGAAAAGCAAAAGAACTGAAGCCACGAGCAGATCTTGGGGTCCCAGAGCCCTGAGTGCAAGTATTATTCTGTCATGGAGCACCATATGGCGCAGGCTGTTACCTGGGCTCAGATTTAGACATGTGCATAGGATATAGTGCAAGATTAATCCCATACAAAGTCACTGAATATATCATTTTAATGCGTAATTGTTTAAAAATCATCAATGTGGGGTTGAAGAAGGTGGATGAAGAAGTGACATCAAACAAGATGCATTGTAATCCTAAACTGAGGTACAGAATAGTTCCTTTGGACAACTACTTAAAGAAAATAAAGTTTGGTATTATTATTCTTTCAACACCATTCTGCCTGATAATCATTGTCTTTGCTATTTGGTGTCTTTTGTTGTTCCATATGAATTTTTGGATTGCTTTCTCCATATCATTAAAGAATCATGATGGGATTTTGATAGGTATTGCATTGAATTTAGAGATTGCTTTGGGCAGCATTGCCAGGCAATTCTTTCCATTTCCTTAAGATTTCTTCAATTTCTGCACATACAAGGACATAGTCCATAAGCTAAGAAGACTGCTTCCAGAAAGAGAGAAGGGTTTTTCCACATGACATCAGACAATGGCCTAATATCCAGAATACACAGAGAACTTTAAAAATTAACTCCTCAAAAACTCAACAATCCAATTAATAAATGGGCTAATGAGCTAAAAGATCTTCTGAAAAGAAGTGAAAATGTCCTCAGAGAAGTGAAAATGTCCAACAGACACTTGAAGAAATGCTCAACCTATCTGCCAAAGAGAATGAAAATCAAAACAACATCAAGATTCCACTTCACCGCAGTTAAAAATGGCCATTATCAGGGAAACAAACAAAAACAGGTGACCCTATACACTGTTTAGGGGCATAAGCTTGTTCAACCACTGTGGAAAGCAATGTGGAAGTTCCTTAAAAAATTAAACATAGAGCTACCATATGATTCACTCCTGGGCCTTAATCCAACAGATCACAAACTAGCGCAACCATGTTTACTGCAGCCCTATCCACCATAGCCAACATATGGAATCAGCCCCGATGCCCTTCAATGGATGAATGGATCAAAAAATGTGGTGTATATACACAATGGAATTTTACTCATCCATAGAAAAGAATGATACTATAGTCCATTTGTAAAGAAATGTAAAGATCTGGAAAAAGTTATACTGAGCGCAGTGAGTCAGGTGCAGAGAGAAAAAAGGATGTATGTTTTCCCTTACATATGGAAGCTAGAATTAGCTTATAAGCTAGCTTTGTATATGTTGGGTGGTATACAAGTGAATACAAATGTACTAACTGAAAAAGGATAGATTCGAGGGAGACTTCAAGTAGTACAATTCCTAAGAAAAACAAAGTTCAGAAAAATGAAATATCAGAAAGTGAGTAATTGAAAGGGATGGGGTAGGGTAAGGAGAAAAGAGTAGATGAATGAAGAAGACAAGAGGGGGAAAATGGAGTGAAGAATCCAATGTATGTCCTACAAAATTAAGAAAATTGAGGGAAGTGGTAGGTGGGTAAGGAAATGTATGAGAATGTTGACAGAGGTAACATTGATCAAGGTATGTTGTATTAATAAATTGCTTTGCTAAATGGCAATTCCTATGTACAATTACATAAGGATAATAAAAAATGACACTAACAATATGATTTTAAAATACTTGAAAATTGAGTGTTAGAAGAAAATTTGGAATAAAGGACTTCTATAAGATAGCAATATGACAATATCTACTGTTTATTGAGTACTTATAATACTCTAGGCAGATTATATCTCATGGTAATTAAACAATTAACAATAAAATTAATATTTAGACATCTTACCCTGCATGATTTAATATATGCAGGCAGGGATTTTTGTGTTTCCTGTTCTTCACTGTGTTTCTCAGGTCTTAGATTTTTCATCTGGGAAACGACTAAGTTGAACTTTATGGCACTTGGAGGGCTGCTTTAAAATGTTATAATGCTAAGCATAAAGGTCATCATTTTCAGATCTGGAATTGTCAAGATGAATAAATCAATCTACCTGCAAAAATGGTCATTACTGGATATTTGAAGTATTTCATCCTCACAAAGAAAAAAAAGAGAGGAGAGGGGAGAGAAAGAGAACCAGGGAATAGATAGACGAGAGATAAAGCCTGTGACCTCCAGCTCAGGAAATAGTGAGACTTCAGGGAATTCTGAAGAATAGAAATACTTCTGAGCTAGGCTCCAGTGTGGAGGAAAAGTAGCTGATTCTTCCTCACTCACCTGAGGCTGGCCAGTAAAGCAGGAAGGAGAGCAGGAGGATCCTGATGCTCAGGTACCAGGGCTGCATTCCAGACTCCTGTCTTCCCCTGGACTGTCTCAGTCACAGTTACAAGGCTCGGTGAATATATGTTCCCGCTCTTCTTAAAACTCTTATTCAATCTTTTCTGATATTAAAGACCTAGGATAAAAAAGAAAGAAAAGGAAGAAATATTCACCAGCACTACTGGTTACATGGAGAAACAAATACCTCATAGTGCAAAGAAAAACTGGCCCTAAATTATCTGTATTTTTTTAAATTTTAGTTCATATTATGATTCCATTCTGCCAGTGATCAAACACAGCATCTTTTATACATACAGGATGGGCAAGCTGCATTCTCTTTATTCAGATTTTAGTAAGGTGTCATGCAAAAGTGAAATTTGAGCACAAAAGTATTTAAACCACATTTATTTAAAAATAATTAGATAATTTTGTTATTCTGTCCTCACAAAGAAAGGTGTGTGTGTGTGTGTGTGTGTGTGTGTGTGTGTGTGTGTGTGTGTAAGTTTGTGCATGTGTGTGTGTGCACATGTGTACCGGTACTAGGGTTTGAACTCAGAGCAAGGGTGATCTCCCTTAGCATTTTTACTCTCCATCTCTTAAATGACAGATCCATTTCTGAAAAGTTTATTTTTATTTTCTCAGTTACAATTGTATACTCTTCATTTACTCTTCTCTGAGTAGAAACATGTAGCAACTTTAAGTGACTGTGACATTACATTATTAGTCAACATAAAGTCATATGGAAAATACTACATGCTTGTTAGAATAGGACAGATTAAAAAAAGAATGAAAAAGAAAAGCCCAATTCCCATAGTAGGAATGTTAAGGGATTGATTGACATCTTAGCAATTGGAATGCAAGAAAAGTGCACAATAGACAAGCAAATTTGACAGCTTCTAAACATTCCCTTACTGTGGACCCAAAGAGGAGAAATAATTAATCTCCATGTAAAAAGTTTATAAATACATGTTCCTAACAGATCAGAATTCAAAAGCATTTAAGATGTCATTTTTCAGTAAAGATATTTGATTATGACTCCATTATTCCATGAAAAGAATATGTAGACATAGATAGACAAATACTTCAGAATCAAGAGAGCCAGTGTCCAGTGGTTGCAGATTGTACAATTCCATTTGCATGGAACACTATGAAAAGAAACCTGACTGACCCAGAACGGTGTAAAGATGTAAAAGGAGGTGGGGTGGGGGGTGGGGGTGGGTGAGAGGGGAGGCATGAAACAGAAAGAAAGCCAGACACAGTACTAGGGGCTGTTTGAGAAGTTGCAATTGTTCTTTGTCGAAGGCCATTGTGCAATTCTATATATGTGTGTCAAATTTCACAGTTTTATAAAAACAGAAAGATCCCACTTTCTGAGTGTAAATTCACAAAAATTATGGTAAAAACATTTTATTTTTTAATTTTTAAATGTTTTTATTGTAAAAATTGTGTACAGAGGGGTTACAGTTGCATGAGTAAGGTAATGAGTACATTTCCTATCGAGCATTGTCACCTCCTCCTTTATTTTTCCCCTACCATTCCTTCCCTCCCCACCTCCTCATCTCCCCCCTCCCCATCCTCCCAACTCCCCCTCCCCCTTTCCTACCCTTATCTCCCTCCTCCCCGCCAAGTTGTAAAGTTCATTTTCAACATAGTGTCTTCTACATCTTATTGTTACAATGGGTCATCTTGTGTCCTTCTTTCAGCATTTTGTTATTTCTCTTCCCCTCCCCAAGACAGAAAAATGTATATACAAGATGAGGGGCACCGATATCAAATACAGTGAAAATGTGGGTTGTATCATGGGGGAAGAACATACAGGAGAAACAAAAAAACCACATAGTACATTTTAGATACATTAAAAACAATAGCAAGAAAGAAAAAACAAGTTGTGTCTCTATCTTGGGGTTCATTTAAAAAAAAATTTTAGAACTTGATCAAAGTACAATGTACTTAGAATCCTATGTACTATCAATGAAACCTCCTGTGCTATTAAAATACACTAATTAAAAAGAACTTGTTGATACACTTAAAATCTGATGTCAAAATTAACAAAAGATAGTTAGAAAACAAAAATTCTAAGCACTATTCAAGAATAAATTCATAAGACTAGCTTTCTTCTCTCCTAGCTGCAGGAATCCAAGAAGCCTCACACTAAACGTACTGGCCCCGACACACTGTAAATTCTTTCAGTGAGTATTAGAAGGTATCTGTGGATTTTGTTACCTTTATAGTCAAAAAGCACAAGTGCTACTTACCCTCACGAGAAAGGTAAGCAGGCTGCCAGGCAGGGCCACTAAAGTAAGTGGGTGGAGGAGGGTGGTAGCCTGAGCTGCAGGGAGCTGTTTGGGCAAGTTAGGGGAGGTGTTTAGGTAGACCCCTGGGGATTGGCTAATTTGAATAAATTCCTACGTCAAGAAGAAACTGCCCAGGCATGGTATCTGGTGGCAGAGAGCTAGGGTGGATACAGAGGTCCTGAATGGGAACCTGATAAAGAGAGTAGCTAGGGCCTGGACATTATCAACTTCCCTTAAAAACAAGAACTGCCTTGCTACCAGCCAAAGCCTCAACGTTAAGTACAAACAGCCTTCTTTTAAAATGAGGAGCTACAGTATTATTATTCCCTTAATGTTTTGCAGTAGATGCTTTTAATTTTTTATTGTAAAAATACTGTACAGAGTGGTTACAGTTACTTGAGTAAGGTGATGAGTAAATTTCCTATCTAGCATTGTTACCCCCTCCTTTGTTTTTCCTCTACCATCCCTTCCCTCCCCACCTTCCCAATCCCCCCCCCCAGTAAAGTTTGTTTACAACATAGTGTCTTGTACATCTCTTTGTTACATTGAGTCAACCTGCAGTAGAGTTTTGACTTCATTTTTTGAGATATTTGTGAGGTCTATATCATACAACTGTGTTTCACAGGGTAGAAAGTAGTTGACCTCTGAATTGAGGGAAACATTTAGTCTAGGAATAAAAATGAGGAATAGGGGTACTAGTCGAAATAGCATTATAAGTTGGTGTCTAAGCAAATCTCTAATTTTGAAGGTACTATAGAGAACACAGATCTGAGATGTGGAATAAATCTAGAAATATATTGGTAAAGTGTTATACTGTGCATATATAGATAGTATTATAATCAGTTGGGTTTTTTTGAAATAATATTGCATTCTTAGAACAGCAGACGTAGGTCTGGAAGCAGTTAAATTTTTGGCAGGCTTAAACTCAGAGTTTAGTTAAGCATACATGAAGATTGGTGGTGTTGATGTGTGAACAAGGAGGGGTATCTGGTCTGTGGTTGGAGATGTAGTGGAATAGGTCATGGTACAAAAATAAACAACAAAAAAACCCTGGAATATGTGGCGAGAAGAAGACACAAAATTGGGTAATCATCTCCTCAGAGAGGAAGAAGTAAATGTTTCCCCATGACCTAATTATAATATTCTCTGTTACATTTTTAATGGCACGGATAGTAGTGATCTTTCTCATATGTCCTGCTAATTATCTGAGTATGACAGTGTATGTTTTGAAGTAGGGTAAAGAGTGTGCCAGGAGATTAAGTCTTGGGCCACAGAAGTTACCTTCTGAGGGACCATTTGTCATTCTACATAGCAAATAGTTATAGTTGTTGTTGTTGTTGTTGTTGTTGTTGTATAGTCTATAATTAAACCAGCTGTCTGAGATCTAGCAGGGAAAGTTCTTCTGAAAGCCATTTGAAAGAACTCAATGTGTTTTTTTAATGTGTGTTTTAGCAACTGTCAGACATACATGCAGCCATGAAAGAGCTGAGGAGCACTGTAGCAAAGTATTGTATGGTAGCCTTTGAAATTGTGGAGACAAGCTGATTTATCTGTCAGATAAGAGCTCCCCAGATGCCAATGACCAGGTCTTATTTCCCTTAACATACTTGAAATGGTGAAAATGATGCACAGCACACACACACATGTTCTATGAGTGTGTATGCTAGGGATCAGGCCCAGGGCTTTGCACATGCTAAAAACACATGTTAACATTGACTGACATTCCATTAATCTATTTTTTCAGTAAAGGTCTTATTACACTATGGTTTGTGAATATTTTTAAGGATATGAATATTTGGACTGCAGAAATTCATTTTAATTTGCTTTAGTTCTTCAAGTTCTTTCATCTTCTTATTGGATTAGAAACTAGGGATTATTTTTAATATGTTTTATTGTAAAAATACTGTACAGAGAGGTTACAGTTACATGAGTAAGGTAATGAGTACATTTCCTATCAAGCATTGTTACCTCCTCCTTTGTTTTTCCCCTACCATCCCATCTCTCCCCACCTCCCCAACTCCTCCCTCCCCCTCCCCCGAAATCGTAAAGTTCATTTTCAACCTAGTGTCTTGTACATCTTATTGTTACAATATGTCAACCTGTATCCTTTTTTAAGCATTTTGTTATTGTAGGGATTATTTTTAACCTTACTGTAGACAGTACCTTATATTTTCTCCTTTTTTAATGGGCATTTTCACATTTTCTCTTTAAGTTTCAAAAGTTTGATTAGAACACTCTAGATGTTGTTGCATTAGAAAGCTCATTTGGTTATGATATTTTATTGTTCTGGGGTGAAGCTAGAGAAGTACTCTGACTTGTGAGCTTGTAATAAGAACATAGTGGTACCATACAAGCTTACCACAGCTAGCCTTTATCAGTAATCCTCAAAATGGAGAGCTCAAAATTTGCATGTAGTTACATCTGTTTCATTCCAGGCTTAAATTTAAATGTAATGTATTATTCTAGAGGCAAGTTAACAGAGCAAACTCAGACACATTTCGAGTTCCCGCTAGCCTCCTTGTATACTCTTGGCACAGAACACATCTTGTCTATGGTTCTTCACACGTTCCTCAAGGGCCAGGCTGGGAATTAGACAGCAGGTGACACTGTGTACAAGACAGCCCGAGACTACACAGCCCTTGAAGGGAGAGCCACTGGCTGCATAATTCCACACACATTTGATTGCTCCCAGCAATGACATTTACATATAAACAGGTTTACAATCTCCATCATATACACTGAAGTCTAGGGAGATTGCTTGCTGAGTGAGGTCTAGTGACTAATCAAGAATATCTAGCCAAGAACCTGTGGCTCATGGCTGTAATCCTAGCTACTCAGGAGGCTGAGATTCAAGGATCACAGTCCAAAGCCAGCCCCTGCAGGAAAGTCCATGAGACTCTTATTTCCAATAGCGGTGTTATGGCTCAAGTGGTAGAGCGCTAGCCTTGAGCTGAAGAGCTCAGGGACAGTGCCCAGGGCCAGAGTTCAAGCCCCAATGACTGGCCAAAATAAATAAATAAATTAAATAATAATAAAAATAATCTCAAGAAAATAAATGAGAAATTGTAATGAGAGAATGCATAACATTTTTACAAGCTATCTGAAGACAAAGACATGTTGTCTGAAATATATAAAACTTTAATTTTAAAAAAGAAGTTATTTTATTTAAATTTAAATAAGGTTGATGTGGCCCTGGGCTTGCCATTCTCCATAGTCGTTGCAGCCCAGAACAATAGATAAATAAAATACGTTAAATAAAACAACAGAACTAGGGCTATGAAGCCTTTGGAAAGCTGGCAATTCACAATAGGGTAGTATCTGTCTTGACTTCCTTTAAAGGGGTCCCAATTGAGGGTTGAAGTCCTTTGCAGATTAAAAAAAAATCTATCCCAAGCTTTTCCAGAATCAATAGACTTCTGGTTGTGATTGGGCCATTTTGAGTGGTGAGACTCCCCCCCCACTTCAAGGATTAATTACTCTGCCTGTCTCTGTGGGTCACAGTACATCTGAGAAGCTCACGGAGACCATCAGCAGCTCTCTCTTAGGTTTTCATCACAAGGTCCAGCTGGGCTAGATCAGACTTAGAGGTGGGAGGAGCAGCAGCTGGAGCAGAGTCCTCACGTCATTGCTAATGCCAGGCTGAGTGCCACTCAATCATGCCCATAGCACTGAATCCACATTGTAGTGCGAACTGTGTTTATGTTGTCAGACTCATAGACAAAGGACACATATTCTTTGTCATATGCAGAAGTTCGGTTTTAAAATATAAATGTATATGAAATATACATTTACATTGCACCATATGAATATACACATAGTCAAAGGGTTTATACACAGGGATGGGTCCCTATGATATAACCCCTTTTAGCAATTGACAGTTTAAGAAAATGAATACTAGGGAACAGAAATGTGTTCTGTCTGAATGAGGTGGGATTCAAAGGGGAGACAGAGTGGAGGAATGGAGGGAGAAGTGGTAGACAAATACTATATATATATATACACATATATATATACATATGTACATATGTACATATACATATATATAAATATGTGTGTGTGTTGAAAAGAAAGTAGGAAACTTGAGGGGACCGATGAGGTTGGGACAGATTGGCGGGATTGATGAAGGGAGTGGCACTAATGCATTGCACACATAACTGACATGTTGAATTGAAATCACTTTGTACACTTTAAATAGTTTTAATTGATTAAAAAATAGAGGTGGGGGGAGAACTGTTCAGGTTTGAAAACATCTCCTCCACAGAGCCTGGGCTTTTTCTCTCCAAGGTCTCAGATACCTGATCCAGTGGCTTTTATGTTCCTTTTCTGACTTCATTTAACTTTCATTTGTTAAATTATCTTTAAGAAGTATGCAAAGAGGTTGTCATTTCACAAGGCAGTTTGTGAATACAATGCATTTTGCTTGGCTACTAATTTCAACATGTTCACCCATCCTTCCTAACGCACTTCTTACTTCACTTCTTTGTTTTATAGAATATACATTGAAATCTTGACTGTATTCTCTTCATTTGTCTCTATTTTTAATTCTTTTTAAAATAATTTTAATTATTTTAATTAGTTGTATAAAGGAATTTACATTCACCAAAGCAGGGTTTTTGTTGTTGTTGTTTTGTTTTTGTTGTTGTTGTTTTGTGGGGTTTTTCAAACTTTTGTTTTTGCCCATCCTGAAGCTTGAATTCAGGGCCTGGGCTCTGTCCCCGAGCCTCTCTGCTCTCAAGGCTAGCGCTCTACTCCTTGAGTCACAGTGCCACTTCTGGCTTTTTCCGTGTATGTGATTCCCAGGAATCGATCCCAGGGCTTCATGTATGCTAGGCAAGCGCTCTAACACTTAGCCACTTCCCAGCCTCACCAAAGTAATTAATAAATACAGTGCATCTTGATCCATGTCACTCTTTTCAACAACAGTCTAATCCATCCGCTCAACCCACCCACCCGTTCCCTTACTTACCTTAATTTTAGGTTACATATTTAATTACTTAATGAATGCACTAATT